TGGGTCAAATACTTCCATATGTGTATATACATAATACACCTACATGTGTGTACAAATGATAAAAGTAACAGAAAGTAATAACTGATGCTTACTGACCTTCTATTTTGTTCTAGGTATATTTAACTGTTTTATACACATTATCTCATTTAATCTTCATACCAATCCTGTGATGTAGGTAGTATTAATATCCCCATTATACTAACTAGAAAACAAAGATTCCTAGAGCTAAACAAATAGCCCAAGTTGACACAGCTGGGAATAAAGTTCAGAAAATTTAACCCAAAAAATTTCAATTATTTTAGCATAATGTCAACAGGTTTCTGAGAACAAGTTTACACATAGCATAGATACACTACCACACACACACACACACACACACACACGTCAGACCACATTTCTAGTGCAGATTGTCAATTATTTTGTTTGGTGGGTGAATTTTCCAGATCATTTATAACTATGCTTTCTAAATCCCTCTCCCATGCCAATTCCCTGCCAACCTCATTGTCTGTGTACCTCTCTTTTATGCAATATCTATGCACTTACTTCTTAATCAAAACCGAGACAGAACCCATCGTTTTTCATGACCCAGATAGCACTATTTATAGGCTATCATGGGATAAAACTATGTCAATTACATATGATCACTACACACACACACACCAACACCCTCACTGCCTATGTCCATTTATTTCCAGTGTTTCTATCTTTCTAATCATTGGAATTAGAAGAATTTCAGTGTTAGATGAATGGGACACATTAATTAAATATTATAATTTCAATCACTTCATATCTATGCCTTGGGATTCCCTGGAACAAGGAACTATTTCCAAGGATTCTGTGCTGAGCAATTTAGGTAACTATTAAGCAGGTCTTATGAGAGTAAATGACAGAAGGACATGATCAGATGAATTAGAAGAACTGAACATCTCTAAAGAAAAAACAATTTGAGGATTTTCTTGGACTGTCTTCCATTAGTAAATTCAATAATCAGAGTTTATTAATTCACTCTTGTACACACTCAGCAAGTATTGTTGACTATGTGGCCAATGCTGCGGATACTGCATGATATGAAAGAAATATAATCTCTGCCCACAGTGACTATATTCTTAAGAAAGGATGGAGGGACGTGGATGAAGATAACGGCATGAGAAATAGAGGCTCATTTTGTGCAGTGTGGGAACTAACACAGAAACATTAGTATATCAGGCAAGAAAAGAAGGGAATAGCTGTTTTAAGTCTATTGTTGAGAAGAACTTACCATAAGCTGTTTGAATTTCACACACAGTAAATAGTGCATGCCTTCCCAGTTTAACTCCAGAGAACTGGCTGAGACCACAGACTGTAGTTAAATCACCTAGATTTGGATTCTGAGAACCAGTTACTTGCCTTAAAACCTTAGAAATGTGCCCGAAATTGTCTGTGCATCTGTCTTTTCATCTATGAAGTGTGGAAAATAACTATAATTTCCTAATAGCAATATTGTGTGAATTGTTATTTTGGTTGAGTTACACCTGAAACACTTATAAGAGTGCATATCTTATAACAAGCACAAAAGTTTCAAATTTCATAGTTTTACTCTTTCTGTACATAGTTCTGAATTAGGTGTGAAGATGGAGCAATGCAACCGGCGTAGGGGTGGATTAGGATTGAAATCTTACCTAGCAAGGTCAAGGAGCAACCACGAAATGGTAACATGGGGAATGTGTTTCTGAATATTAATGATTTTGACAATTATTTACAGGCAGAGGGAGAATTGTTTAGAAAATGAAAAGTAGCCTTATTCTAGGTTTACACATGTGTTCTTTCCATCTGAATTCACTTCCAGCTGAATTCAGGTTGAGATATCCTGTCAACTGAGCCAGCGACAGTAAGAGTCCCTCCAAGAGCCGGCCAATATACTTGTCCCTCAGACTCCCGAGTTTTTCTTAGCGCTGGGGGTAGTTTTGGTCCTACTCTGGGAGCAGCTGCTCCTGGAGTTAGCACAGGCAAAACACAGTCAGTCAACCTTGGCTGCAGAGCTGCTGCTGCAGCAGCAACAGAGCCTGGAGAGTCAGAGAGAGAGCAGCACCACAGCTCTCGGCCACTGCTGTGGATCTCACAGGGTCCGAGTTGAGATAACCACACACACAAGCATCCATCCTGGCCCAAAACTCCTTTTCTACTCTACCGTATTCCTGGACTGACCCTCTGGGGACTCAAGAGGGTGACCAGGTAGAATTTTCACTCCATGTGGAGGTGAAAGTGCTCTCTGGGGATTCTGGCCCAGGTGATAATCCATCCACCTTCTCCTTTTCACAATGTGTTCTGGTTACTGTTGACTTTCCTCACTTGAGTCATATTTCAGATAACCCAGAGTTAATCATCTGTCAACCTCCCCCTCTAGATACCTTTGAAAGAGATGCAGTCATAACACCAAATGTAGTGTCTGATTGCACAGCACACTTCTTCTCAGAGCCTCACCCTCTTCCTGCCCCTGAGAGATGATCCAGACCCCTGATCTTTGGCCCATCTCTGGGTGATGGGTGGATTAGAGGTGGGGAGACAGCAGAAGTAACTCTGAGCCTCTGCCAGGCATCCATAAGCCAGGTCTTGTGCCTGTCTTCAGGGAGCTCCCCACAGCACTCCAGACCTCAGCTGCAGGCAGTGAATTCCCCTGCCTAATCACCCTTCCACGCAGGCTTGCCTCAGTGCATACAGCAGAGCCCATGGAGGTGGAACTGTGGGCAGGACGTTCCTGAATGTTGTGTTAAGAGGTAAGTGAAGTGTACTCAGAGAGTCTGTGTCACTATTTCCAGAAACCCAGCAATCCAGCTGTCTTTACTCAGCATAAATATACTTTACGAACTATATCAAGAACTATTTGATTGGATGTGTGCGCAATATACGTGCTCTGCTTCATTCTTAACTCACATCTTTAAATTTTGTCCGGAACCACACTGCGTCCAGATATCAAAATTTATACTTCTGTATCCCTTCTGTACATACAAGCAGCCAGTGAGATTTAGGAAATTCTCAGGTAAATTCTCAGGGGCTTTAGGAAAGCTCAGGTAAAAGGCTGTATTGGGGTCAGGGCCTTTTACCCACCCTTTCTCTTTCTTCAGACCTGAAGTACAGCGTTGCAGATCAGAGCTCCATCAGGCATCCTGAGATCACCAACTGTTTCCCAGGCAACAACCACTAATAATGAAATGACAAGACAGAGGGGTATCCATCTCTGAAGACTCCAGGGAACCACCGTACCAGCCATGGACTACTGACCTCTGACTTCATCATATGTGAGTGGAAATAGCCTGCTCTCCTTTTTAAATTGCTGTGATTTTGAGTTCCTGTGATGGTAGCAGAACGTAATTTGTAACACACATGCAAACATGCCAAACATAAGATAAGATGCAAGTAAAAACCAATAGTCAGATTGGAAATTATTCTGTGTATGGAAGTTTGGATGAAGCAAGGATTATGTTCACCACGAAAGGAGCACATGGGGGCCCAGATAGCAGATCCACTGGATAAGGGAAGGGCCGGTGAGTTGCTCTTACTTAAGGCAGAGGTCCCTGAAAGCACATTCAGGTGTCCACCCCTCCACAGGCCAGCCTTCACCTGCCCCAGGCAACCTTAGGTCCCTTGCTTGGAATTCCATTTTATACTATTCGGGTTTTTTTGTTTGTTTTGTTTGCTGACATGTAAACACTAAGGACAAGGGAAAACTTCTTAACCAACTCAGGAAACCCTGAAGCTATGAAAGCAAAGAAAGTCATATTTGAGTATTTATAACTACAAATATTTCCTTGGCAAAAGTTATTATAAACAGAGTCAATTAATTATGATGTATTCAATATTTTAATAAAGACAGATCAAGGTTAATATCCATGATATATCAAGAGCTCTTGAAAATTGAAAAGAAAATTTAAAATCCTATTACAATTGTTGTAGAAATGGCCCATGTATGTATTTATGGAAGCTCAAAATTACTACTGGTCAGGGACTTGAAAATTGGTTAACAATGAGACTGGCAAAATAATAAAGAACATTAAGTCAAATAAACTGACAGTGCAGAGGGTGATTTAAAATGCAGTCAGTACAGAATCTCAGACTGGTTAATCAGCCAAGTTTTTGTCTTAGTGGCACTAAGGGTAAGTAAGAAGATAAACATATTAATAAGAGACTCCATCTCTGTCAAAATCCATCCTTGCTGAATCCATTATCTTCATGTAGACACCTGTCAGCCTGAACCTAAGAAACACTAGCCCTTATTTCCCCTGCTGTGTCCCTGCTTCCCTCCCCTTCCTCTATTAATACTTAAGATGCCCCACCCATCCTGGCACTTCTCCCCCCTCACATCTGAGGGTGGCTTGGCAGAGAAGATAAGTATTGAAGGAGGAAAGGTCTTTTCTTTTGTACAGTGGCTTGTATTCTTTGTATTCTTATATTCCTTATATTCTTTGTATTTTCTAAGTAACTCTTCCATGTTTTTTCTATTTATTATCTCCATTACTCATCACTCCCCTGCCCAGCATGTGGGCCAAGTGGCAGGACAGCATCCTGGGGCTCAAATCTAACACTGAGAGGAAGTGAAGCCAGGTGTCCAAGGCAACAAGTCAAAAGGCTGATCTTCACCAGACTCACCCTCCCTGAAAAGGAGTTCAGTGACCACGGACTGTACTTAACAGGAGGAAGGGTCTCAACATCCGTTTCAAGCATTTTACCAACTATTGATTCTAACAGCAGGGAAGTATTGCTTCATTTAGATGTGTTCTTCTCCCTAGAGAAGAACAAGTCTGCAGAGCTTCCCAACCTTCCCAACGTCTGGAATAGACAGAAAATTAGAACATGTGTCTGGCTTAGTGGAGAGAAAGGCAAAGCTGCCATAGCCAGAGGTGACCCTCTTGGAGCTCCATCCACCCTGCCTTTGGGGGAATCAGTTCCTCGGAGCAGCTTTCCATGTATCACCTACTCATGTCTTCTCCTTGCCTCATGAAGAAAATTTCTCTGAGGCCCTGTCCTTTGGAGGACATTACAAATCTCAGAAGAAAATAGAATGACCGAGACATTTAGTGAGTCAGAAATCAGAGCTTTATTATAACATGAGGTAAAGGAGGAAAAGAAGACTGCAATCCGGGTGCTCCATCAAGCACGAAGTTCTTCCAGGGAAGCCCCATGAGTCTTTGTGGTCTCTGTACACCAATGAATAGGATGAGAGGAAGGAGAAAGCGTATCCATCAGGCTGCAGCAGGTTCTTGACCATTCAGTCCCAAGAGCTCCTCTGAAGACCAGGTCAGCAGCAGCCCCCAGAGCTGTGGCAGCAGCCAGAGCCCCCAGAAGGTTCACTCTCACAGCAATCTGGGCTCTGGTGCCGACGCCGGTGGAAGAGTCGGGGCCTGTGGTGGCTCAGGCAGCAGCCACCACTCCCAGAACTGCAGCAACCCCCAGAGCTGGGACCACAGCAGCCCCCAGAGCTGGGACCACAGCAGGAAGAGACTGCAGGGGAACATGGAGCTGGGCACTGGGGTGGGCATTTGGGGGGACACTTAGGTGGACATTTTGGGGTACACTTGGGAGGACACTTGGGAGGGGGCTGGCACTGCTGCTGGTTTTGCTGGCAAGACATGCTGGCAGGAGTGTAGTCAACCTAAGATAGTAATGAAACTCTTTAAATATTTCAAACCAAAAGTCATGATTATACCTCCTCTAAAATCAATGCATGTGTAGAAGAAGAATGATATTTAGATCATACAGTCACATCAGTAACCTGAAAGAAACAACTTGAATCTTTCCTCCAGATAAAAGTACATAGATTAAAAATCAACAGAATGAGCTTCTTCTTCTTCCTTTCAAGGGAAACAGGGATTGCTCTGTCCTCATAAGCCTGAGTAGAGTATTCACAGCTCCCTGAAGTACCTATTTCCTTAATACAAGCCCTAAGGACCAGCTGGGTGTTTCAGAATACACCAAGGGGTCCTCTGGAAAATATTTCACAATGAAACCTCCAGATAAAAGGACTTGGCTTGAAGTATTTGCCAGTTTCCATGGTGGAAATATACCCAACATGGCAGTTTTGAAGTTACCAATGTGAAGTCACTGAGCATAGAATTGGAAAAGATGTGCACAGTTAGCTTTCCCCAACTATATGAGCTCCAGTAGGCCTCAGAGCCTCAGTAGATTCGAGGCAGACTGGGTCCTATTCCTGCTCAGTGGCAGAACACAAGCACACAACTCTCTGTCTCCAGCTTACCTCCATCCTCCCCATCCCTCTGCGCTGCTCATACCTCTCTGGTATCCCAGGTTGCCACTCACCCTGGTCACACACAGGAGCACAGACACGTCCCTGGGGAGTCAGAGCAGATGAGGTGCTGAAGCTGGATGTGTCTTTTATAGGACCCAGGCTTGGCTCTGGGAAGAGCAGGAGGTGGCTCTTGTACAACCAGGCACGTGCTGGGTCATTCCTGACATTCTTCTGCCTCCCAGTCCCTGCAATCCAAAGAGGCCTCAGGAGATTCCAGGACTCCTCTCTGGGGCTGGGGTCTAGAGAGGCTTTAGTCAGTCACAGACTCCACCAGGTGGGAGCCCTAATGAGTTAAGTTAGGGTACCCAAGGGACCCACACCTGGACAAGATTCTGTTCCCTGCATTTTTTTAATGCATGTCCTCTGAGGAAACATCAGTTCTGAGCCATAGCTTTCCCTGAACTTGTGGAAATGTTCCATTATGACTCCCTCCACCCTGAGCAGTTTCTTTTCCATGTTCTGTTGTGGATCCAGTCATCCCAGGGGGCTTCTACAGCCTTGGCTCTTTCTAGGCATCCCTCCCTTGCCTAGGCTCTCAGCTCTTCCTCCTGGCCTCTGGGTTTCTGCTTTTCCTCCGACTCACCATGACAAGCAGATTCAGGATTAAATCTGAATTGATTCTGTCACCTAGAGCAAGGAGAATGATTGAGAATAAACAATTCCCTCTAAAATCTAAACATTTCCTTCAGTCGGAGGAATTGTACTGAATCTGCTACTGGAATCAGAAAACCTGCATATGATAACTGGGCAATCTCTGGAAGTTGCTGGAACAATTATCAATAACTGCTAGAGTATTACTATGATACTCACTATGAATATCACTTCTCACATGTAATGCCCAGTATAAACCAGATACACCTATCTCACTGAGCAGTTTGTAATATAAAGTGAGAAGTAAGAAAGAGCTAAGTATGACACTTTGTGCCTGATAGACTCTTAATAAATATATGTTTAAAAGAAAAACTAAAACCGTGTGTTGGTTACTTGCCCAGGTCTTACGTGTCATTAATTGTCCGTATAGAGCCCTTACCCTCCGAGAGCTTAACTCAACCAGAAATTTAGATTATTTGAAACCTCTCTTGGGAAGTAGACATCTTTTCTTGGGGCTCCTATGGAGAGGGAACTCCTTTCCTACCAGGAAGTAGAGGGTCAGCCAGGGTCTAGTTATTCAGAGTTCTGATTCTGGATTGCACTAGACAGAGTTACCCATTCATTTATTCATTTATTTTAAACAGACATATTGAGGGTGAACCTTGAAAAAATTACACTAAGTGAAAGAAGCCAGTCACAAAAGACTGCACATTGTATGATGTTATTTACATGAAATGTGTAGAGTAGGCAAATCTGTGGAAATAGAAAGGAGATGAGGCTTTAGCCAGTTACAGCCTCTCCCAGGCTGGACCCCTGAAGAGCTGACTTAGGGCATCTGAGGAACGAGAGCCTGGACAAGATTCTCTTCCCTGTATCTCCTTTTATATTTATGCCTGTCCTCTAAGAAATATCAGTGTCTTCCAGGTGCTTTAGCAGGTTGGGAGAAATTGGGAAATTACTGCCAATGGATACAGGTTTTCTTTGTGGAGTAATGAAAATGTTCTAAAATTGTGGTGGTGATTGTCCAACTCTATGAATATACTGAAAACCACTTAATTTACACTTTAAACAAATGAACGACGTAATATGTGAATTACATCTCAATAAAGATGTTAAAATTAAAATTGAAAAAGATCGATATTCACACCTCTGATTAAAATAGAAAAACGGACTGCGCCTTCACATTGCCCAATGCCTTCTTAGTGGGGGAGGGGAGGATGCAGAGAAAGCATAGTTTCCCATTGTCAGCTTCTAACGGAGGGATTCTATTCTCCCAGTTATCCAATCCTATTATCAGAACCGATTCCTGCTCTCAGACAGCTTTTACCTGAAGGATAAAGTAAGTCAACAGTGTGATTAGAGCAGTGTATTCAAAAGGCATTCCTTGGTACAACATTCTTGGAGCACGTATGTCCAAACACAGGGATATAGAGGTGAATAATAAGTAGCCCATGACCTCAAGGACTGTAGAATTTAGTGGCCTTTTTGAAGATGACTGCAGACAAATGGGCACCAAAGGAGATGACGTCTGGGGACTGAACCTCCTGACTCACTATTTCCCAGTGTGATTAGAACATGTTAGTTCATTCCATTGTCTTCATGGTGATATCACCCTCAGCTTCCTCATACTCTTTGACAAAGATACTTGTAACAGTGTTGTAAGTGAGGAAGTGGGGGAGGCAAGCTTATGTGTGTGTGTGTGTGTGTGTGCGCACTGTATGTGTGTATGCTGTATTTATATAAAAATGTAGGTGAAATGAACATGCACATACATGAGCATCTGGATTGAGTGGTTGAGTAAGCAATGGAAGAACTAATGGGATCTGATCCCCTAGGAAACCAGAATTGAGAGGTAAGCAGCTCTTTAATATGTCCCCTTTGTCCCTTTATATCTGAGAAAATGTTGAGAATTGGTTCAGAAGTCAGTGAAGAGACACCTGCCTGCATGTATTCTTGCTTCTGTCTCACAGTCCTCACACCATCATAGGTGATCCTTCTGAGCCAGGAGACCCCATGTCACATTGCACATGTTCCCTCAGGGACCAGCCAAACGCTTAATTGTCTCCTGAATGTCGGCAGGATCAATCATGATTGCAGGACCACATGAACGAGTACGTAGGTGACATGAGCAGAATGACCTGGGATTGATTCCAGACATTTCATCTGAAGTTCACCTCATCTGGAAAGTCAGTCTCCTGAAAGCTGGTATTTCCAACTAGCTCCTTGAATTGTCTCTCTGGGAGCTTAAACTCCACATATTCCAGAAAATTATCCCCCACCAAATGCTGGAACTTTATTTTAGCCACAATACAATAAAAAGTCTTACCATGTCCCTTGAAGTATATCACCTTATTTAATAGATTCACTAACCCAAATTTTCCTTTTACTATATCTTTGTAGCCCTTTTCATCTTCTTGTCAATTCTGTCTGGCACTGTCTGATTTTGGCTCAGTTTCTACTCCTGAAAGGGTATGTGTGGAGATAAGGGTTTATTGAATTGTAATTTCCAAAAAGTTAAAAGCGTGACTCATATAAATATATAGCAGGCATATAGTAAAGATTTGTTTCACTTGTTAATAAGAGAATCCGCATGATGGTAATGCTGGTTCAAAGAATAGGAAAGACCAAAGTATATACATTCAGTGAAAAAAATTTTGGAACAAGATTGCAAATTTAGATACAAAACTGGTTAAAGTTTTCGAAGGCAATGAAACAATTAGTTTACATTTACTAGAGCACACAGAATGATTTTCAACTTATAAATCTTCTATAAGTTAAATCTAGCTTTATAGTGTCTGGGCCTTAATCAATACCAAATATATTAAGTAAAATCATGCCACCATTTTTTTAAAAAAACCTAGAGAGTCATATAAACCTTAGGCAAGGTTGTTAGTTACTAGGAAGAAGTAAAAACTTAAAAGACTAATCAGAAATCACTTTTTTGCTTAATTTTAAGTTTTGGATAAGTGTAACTCCCAATTTCCTAACAAGAGATGGTTCTGCAGAAAATTGGGACTTCAAAACCCAGGTCCAGAATAACTTTTTGCTGAAGTCATATTGGCTGATATGACATCAGAGGGGCATGGATTCCAGGCAGAGAGTTGCTGGAGAATTCACGTGTCGTGGTCCTGCTAGAGCGGGGACTCACTTCAGATCCTGGTATTAGCATAGCTGATAAGAGATATCCTAACACTGTCCCACATCTGTTTTGCCTCATCTGGGACCTGCCATTTTCCTTGCCTGGTTACCAGGGTGAGTTTACCCCTGGGAGCCATCAAACTGGCTCTCAGCAGAACCATATGGGAGTCTAAAGAGTAACACTGGGAGTGTGAAATATGAAAGGAGAAGAGGGCCCAGCGATAGGGAGGAGCACAGCAGAGGGGTGTTCTGGGCAAAGCAAGAATTGGTCTGTCTGGTTTGTACATACATATTTATATGACCTAAAGAAGATTGGTTTTATACTTATCTTAATTCATCAATTCCATGATACACTCTTCTTGCATTTGTTGACAGCCCTTAAATCAGCATATAACATATGACTGGTGGCATGTAATAGTTGAATTTGCAACATTTTTTAAATTCTTTGTGGTGCATGAAATAAGGGTGCCCCTTACAGCTGATAGCCTCTTTATGCTCATGAAATACAGTAGGTAGGAAATGGGTATGTAGATATGAAATGAAATGATGAGAGACAGAAATTGACATTGATTTAGTATTAGTTCTGTTTTCAGAAATGTCACTTCTAACACTTTTAACTTGGGGCTATATGTTTCTTCATAGGTACTATTAGATACTAATGTATTTTATAAACTGTCTGCCAGCACACCATGAATAGGTTTAAAAGGGCAAAATTGTGCCCATGTTGGCTCTAATTTATCTGACTTATTATTCAATTCATTTTCAAACTCAGAAACCTTACCAAAACACCACCGGTAATGCCAATGTCTTTAAAGGACCCTCCACAGTGCCACTCCAGTGCACAGCCCATGTTCAACTCCAGTTCTTCCTGTGTGACTGATCCTGCCTGGGAAGCAGCTCCAGCTTCATCAGCTCCCAGAGCTCCAGCTACGGTGCAGTGTCAGCAGCCTTGTCTGTGCTGTACTGACTACACCTCTGTGGAACCAAAGTGCAAAGGCCAAGGGCCTCCCCAGTCACAGGCGCACTCCCTCTCTCCAGTCCTTCTAGCATCACACCCTTGCTGAGACTCCTGGGGTTGCCAGGTGGAAGATTCTGTTTTCCCAATATTCTCCAAAGGTCTGTCCAGAAATCTGCGTTTATCCTAAGTGAAAATAAAACCATCATTTCATGTTCCTAGTGTGTCCTGGTCACTGTTGACCCTCTGCAGTCTCTTGGATCATGTCTCTAATGACTTCCATGTATCCTCTCAGTCTCTGTGATGGTTAATTTTGCCCAGGCTATTCTATGGCATCCAGTTGTTGATGAAACACCAGTCCAGATGTTGCTTTGTAC